GGGCAACACTCACCTCTTCACAGACTACGGCTGGCCTCGGCCGGTTCTGCGCACGTGCGTGGGAGCCGCACGCTGCGCTGGTCGCGCATGAATAGGACCGGTCGCGAAGACTGGCAGCGCGCGATGACGGGCGGCGACCCTCAGGCCGGAGGCGGCGGCGGAGGCGGTGGTGGCGGCGGCGGCGCGCCTGCCGGCGACGGCTGGCCGTACCCCGGTGGCGGTGGCATGCCTACCGGCGGGGGCGGCTGCTGCGGCGGCATGCCGTAGGGTGGGTAGTAGCCGGGGGGCGCCGCCATGCCGGGGTGCGCGCCGCCGTAGTACCCGTAGTACGCCGCCGCCGGGTCTGCCGCCGGGTGCGGCGGCGCTCCCGGGGGCATGCCCGGCGGCGGGGGAGGGGCGCCGTACGGCGGCATCGGCGGCATCGGCGGCATTCCTCCGGGGGCCAACCCGCCCGGCGCTGCCATCCCGCCCGGCGGCGGAGGCGGCTGCAGCTTTGGCTGCGCGGGCTGGCCGTCGGCGCCCATGCCCGACATCTCAGACATGAACTTGGCGTACTCCTCGTCGTCGGCGGGCGGCGGCGGCGCGGCGGTGCCGCCGATGTTTCCCGCGCCGACGAAGGAGGCGCCGAGCGGCACGGGCGGGCGGAAAGCGCCGCCGAGCTTGGACGCGTGCGAGAGGGTCGCCTGCGACGCCTTCTCTCCCGCGAGCACCTTGGCCATGTCGAGGAGCGGCTTGTCCTCCCGCACCGTGCCGTTGAGCACGTGCAACTCGTGGTTCGCCTCGTTCCTCATCCGCTCCCCCTCCTCGGACGTAAAGTCGAGCAGCGTCTCGATGAGGCGCCGCGCCTGCTCGAGCCGCTCTTTGGTCGGCCCGCGGATCAGCACGTGCGGCGGGTCGTTGTCCGACTCGTCGCGCACCTGGTCGCCCAGCCGGCGGGTGCCCTTGCCGCGCACGGCGATGGTGCAGTTGGTCTCCTCCTGCATCCGCTTCTGCGTGTTGCCGCGAGGGCCGATGATCAGCCCGACCAGCTTGAGCGCACCACCGGGCATGTGGTCTGGCAAGATGAGCTTGACCGACATGCGGTCTCCCGGCCCAAAGTCAGCGCGGGGGTACTTTTGGATGCACCAGCGGCGGACGTAGTCGAGGCGCGCCTCGAGCAGCCGCTCGCGCTCCGCCCCCCGCGCCTCGGGCAGCGTGAGAAGCTCCTTGAGCAGCTCAATCCGCTTGACCATCTTCTCCTCGCTGAGCGGCGGCGGCGGCGCGGCAGCTTCGCCCGAGGCGGGCTGCGCCTTGCCGGCGTTCCAGCGATTGCGCCGCCGCTTCGCGCGCGCGTACTCCTTCTTTAGCTGCTCCACCTCCTCGGATGGCTCCCACGGCCGCTTTGCAGCCTCCTCTGCCGCCGCTGCGCCGTTGGCCGCCGCGGGAGCCGCCGCGCCGTCGGCTGCCACCCCGGGCGCGCTGTCTGCCGCCGCCCCGGGCGCCGTCGCCCCGGGCGCCGCGGCCTCGGGCGCCACGGCCGCCGCCGCCTCAGGCGGGGTTGCCATTTGCGCAGCCCCGGCGTGGCGTGCGTGCAGCGGCCGTGACGTTTCTTCTTTTGAGAAAACAGTTTTTCTTCCACAATAGACCGCTCCCCCAGCAGATACAAATCGCACGGATGTAGGCCTTCAATGGGAGAGGGGCCTGAGGACGTTTCAGCCTCGGCCAGCCCGTCGTGTCCACCTGCTGCTGCAGCTTGGAGATGATCCGGGCACGCACCGGGTGCGAGCCGGCCAAGCCTGCGAAGAATGTCAGTGCCCGCTCGGAGCCAAAAGTAGGCTGCGCGGCCGTGGCGTTTACCTCGCCCTTGATCAAGGGTATCGGAATGTGCCCGACACCGCCCGAGGAGGCCACGAGCAGGTTGAGCCAGCGATCCGCAGCAAAGTCACCAGGGCGGCTCTGATCGTACGAGAGGCCTATGCCGTCGTCGTTCTGGCTCACTGTGATGTACAGAACGTCGTTGCGGAGCAGGGTGTCCAGTGTTCTGCGAAGCTGCAGGTAACCGATGACCGTTGCAAACGAAGTCGCCTCGGCAGCCGCGTCCGACCCAAACAAGCGCTGTGGTTGAATTTCCGGTACACCCAAAGGTGCCAGTGTCGCCGTGGCTGGTTTGCACACAATCGGTGCGGTGGCTGTGCTGCATGCTCAGCGATACGCTGCAACGAGAAGAAAACGTTGGCGCATTGCGCACGACCTGTGCCTGTGCCTGTGCCGCGCACGCGTGAAACGTGCCGTTTCCCAGCGCATACTGCGCACTCGCGGTGACACTGCTGCGCGAAATCGCTCGTTTTGCTCCCAACAGCGAGACAAAGCGTGCATAGTCTGTTGCACGCAGAGGATGATACCAGGGGTGGTGCCCCGGTCGACGTCGACCCAGGATGGAAAAGGGGACTTGTTGGACCTGCACGCCAGCCACGAATCTCAAGTACGCAGAGATGTAGACGTCATCGTGGTAACGCACCAACGGCTGCTCAGCCACAACGCAAGTCAGCCACGAACGCAGAGAGCCGGATAAGGGTTGCACGTCCAGAAGCCGGAAGCCGAACATGTCGGCTGCTTGGCCGACCACGAGTTTGGAGCTGCCGTCAAGACTGTCGAGGTTGTTGACGTACTGCGAGCAGGCAACGCCTGGCGTTGTGACACATTTTGCGACTCGCTCAAGCCCGTCCCTTTGATAAATTCGATCGTCATCAAAGAGAACCAGGGTTGTGCTCGACGCCTCGCCGCATGCGCGGGGCCTCTGGGCAGACAAGGCGTCTAATGGACACAGCAGCTTAGTGCCTGGGCCCTCGTCGGTGCAATTTAGGAACTGCACTCTTGGGTCATTAGGCAGTTTTGGCAGTTTCTTTGCTCGGCCGGCCACGTGGATCTCCCGCACGAGCTTCTCAACAGTGCTCACGAATATGACATCTGCGGGGAGAGACTGGTTTAGCACGACCGACTCGAGTGCGCGTGCCAGCATCTTCTCACGCCCGGGAATAGTGGCCACAGCCGCTATGATGCACATGCTGCGGCTGGAGGGAGTTGCGGCTTTACTCGCCTCTCCCACTCCGATCACTTGCCGCCAAGAAATCCCGTGTAAAAAAAGAAAGAAAGAACCTCACGACCCAAGGGTGGGATGGGAGGACGGCACGCCGCCACCACACAGGGATTTTAAGGAGAGGAGTGTGGGTGGCGGCTAGCCGTCGCCCACCCCTTCCTTGGGCGTCTGCCTCTTCCTATCTCTCTTCGCAGTCCCTCGCCGATTCTCGCTGCAACCTTCATGCCACCTCGTGGTCGTGCGAAAGAAGAATTTTACAATCTAACTCCCTCGCACGACACTGGGCACGGGACTGGCGCGCACTGGCACTAACACAGGTACACTACCAAAAAGAAAACGAAACTTGGCGCCTTGAGAGAGTTCTGCGACGCCGCCGCCGCCTGTGCCGATCCCTTGCTTGCTCTCGCCACGCGGCTTCTCTCGCCTCTCGGCGTAACTCCGCTCTCCCCGCATCGTATTCTAGGTAGGTGTATGTAGCTCTTAGCGAAGTGGGAAGGGTTGACGGGGTGTGATTTGTTTATGTGGCTTCAACCATTTTGGCAGTTTAACAAAGAGTCCGCTTTTAATGATGACCGCTCTCCGCTTTCACGCCATTGGTGCAGGCTGCAGCCTCAGCGCAGCCTCCGCAGACCACTTCCTGGCGCGCGTGTCAGGCCGATGCACCAAGCACTGCAGTACGCCGGCGTCCCGTACTTGCTCCCTGCAAAGGAGCAATTGCTCGCGCTGAACGCTTTGCCTGCACTTGCCTTCACCGCATCCCAGGCACCCAAAGTTACCGAGCACCGCCCATGGGTCCTGCCATGGGTGTTCCGGTGGATTGTGGTCTCGCTGTCGGTGACGTCGTCCATGAGGATCATGTCGACGTGCGGTGAGGCACGCAATGCATTACCCCCGTCGCGCGCAACCGCACTCGGATGATGATCGCCATCCAGGCTCCACACATTACAGTGGCTCAATGATGGATTCTTCGTGGCATTCAGCTGGGTGTCGCTCAAGCCACGAATGAAGACGGTCCGTCCCGGAAAGCGCATCGAGAGGAATTCCTGGACAGCTGCTGAGAAGCCAAATTCGTGCGGGTCGATGCTCACGTACGTCGCTACTTGGCGTGCGGTGAGCGCGAGGAAGAGAACGGCCGAATGGCCTTCAAAGAGGCCCACCTCGCAGACGTTCCTTGGCGGCGTGTCCAAGCAAAGAAGAGCGCGCACGTACGCGAGCAATTGGGCGGGTTCAGTGCCAATGTTGCCATACCTCCCCAAGAAGGAGAGAACCCTATGCTTTGACCAGCCCCGTTGTCTCCGCAGCGCACTCTCCGCATTGTGGCTCACTGCGTCCATTATCGTCAGCAGCGATGCGAGTGGCGGCAGCAGCCCGGCGGCGGCAGCGTTTGAAATAGCGGCCACTGCTTTGTCAAAGTCGGCCACCTCAACCTGAGCCGCCAGCCCACCTGCTGTGGCGGAGCAGCCGCACGAGCACCAACCACACAAAATGGCGGCACGGGACGTGTTGAGCAGTGGATGCCTGCACCACTCTTCGCAAGCCAGTGCGCGCTGAGTGACGAAGCCGTCGAATGAGCAGATGGAAGAAGCCTTTGCGTGTCCGCCGTTTGCCCACCCAAGGCTCAGCACGAGGCAGCCGGCAGAAGAAAGTCCGCGGCGACGCCTTGGGCGTGCCATGATGCGGAGGCCTGTGAGCCGGCAAGGGGCTGTGGGCTCACTTTGGTTTCCCCCTCGAGTTTATCGAGCTCTCCTCGGCAAGGACTATTCTTCTGACTCTTCCCACTCATCACTTGCCGCCAAGACCCAAGTTTCCGTGCCAAGTGTAAAAGAAAGAAAATAGATGAAAGTTGAGCTTTGTAAAATTCTCATCCGCAACACCTGGTGGGATCGAAGGAAGGGACGGCGTAACGGCTCATCGACATGTGTGTATGTGCATGGCGTCGGAGCTGTCCGCCCTCAGGTTGGAGTGTCGCGCCTTGCGGCAGGAGGCGGCTGACCGGGAGGCGGCCGAGGTCGAGTGCGCCGAGCTTGAAGATGACATGCTCAGTCTGAACGATTCGCTCGCCGAAGTCACGAGTCAGATTGTGGCTGAGGAGGTGCGTCTCGCTTGCGTGAGCCAGACTGGGGAAACACACGCCGCGTACGCAAGGCCACGGAAGCGCCGGGCCGAGATATTATTGACAGGCGTGGCGGCAGTACGGCCGACCCGCATGTTGGTAGGCGAGGTCGGCCGAGGCGCTAGAGATGCTGCGGGAGAAGGAGGCGGCGGCCGCCTCCTCGGCGAGGGCGCGCGTCGACGATCCGGATGCGCTGCAGGCGTGATCATATCTCACTAGTGACTCTGGGAGCCATGTCCCTGGGGGCTCTCGTGGACCCGACTCTCTTACCGGCGCACTCGGTCGACCCTCGCAGCGCACTCTCGAGACGTACCTGCGGCGGCATGCGGCGCTGAGCAAGACACTGAGCAAGGCCGCCGATCCCAACCTCATCGCCGAGGAGGAGGATGGGCTCGCCGACGAGCTGCAGCAGGTGGGAGAGATGGAGCGGCGGGCGGCGCAGCTGGAGGTCGAGCTGCGAAAGCTCGAGCGGCAGGTGAGGCGGGAGGAGGCGCAGCGGGAGCGCGAGGGCGAGCGCGAGGAGCGGAGGAGGGAGCAGGCGAGCGGTAGCCAGGCGAGCTACATCGTGCGGCTGAAGGAGCTCGAGCTAAAGACGGGGCGGGGAAAGGACGCAAGCCGCCAGCGCGCCGAGGAGCTGGGGCGAGAGTGGGCGCGGCTGGCGCGGCCGGCGCGGCACGGCTGGTCCGCGGCGAGAGACATTACTTCACCGATTTGGCTGTGAGCAGGTGCGGCTGCTCGAGGACGAGAGGGTTGGCGCCGGCGCCGGCGGAGGCTCAGAGGCCAGGCTGCTTGCGGCGCGGCTAACCACCGCCGCCTGCGGCGGTGGCGGCTTCTCCGATGTCGCACGGGCGACCGCCAGCCCTTTGCGGCGGGAGGGTCAGGTGCTCTCTTCACGCTTGGTGCTGTGGACAGGCGGTGCTGGACCGGCTGCGCTACTGCGATCGCAGGCACGCGCAGCTGCAACGGCGCGGCGACGAGCTCGCCGAGGCCGAGGCGCGGCTGAACGAGAGGCTGGAGGGCGTCAAGTCCAAGATCCTGGCGGAGCGGGCCAAGATGTCGAGGGCATTTTGACGTTGTGTGTGCGCGCCTATCTGTATTTTCTCGTGTGGTGCAGGAGTCAGTTTCGTAGTAGAGCTGCCCGGCATTGTACACAGCTCGCAACGAACTGCCCTTGCGCATATATTTTCGCGCGCTGCATGGACCATGTGCGCGGTTTTCGACTCTTTCGTCTCTCTCGTCTGGTTGCGCACATCGGCTCCCGCGCCTGGGCGGGATCTGGGGCGTATGAGGCGCATGATGCAAAAGGGGGGAGACAATGACGGCGTTTTCTCAAACTCGACACGGACAAAAGACTCAAATCACACACACGCGCGCACTGGTGCCGGTCCGCAACACAGGTCTCAGCCAGAGTCCCGTCGGGGCTTTCGACTTGTGCGGCCGATCCGACCCCCGCTTAAGGCCGCGCCATCATGCAATCGCTGTCCATCGGAAGGAAATCCAAGGCCAGATCGGGGATCTTTGAGGGCGACGAGAACCGTGCAATAGGGTTCCACGAGCGCGCCCTTGCGGCCGCGTTTGGCCGGGTTCGGCAGGGTTTCGCGATGGCGGTGGCGGGCAGACCATCTGTTGTGAGTAGAGAGGTCAGCAGCCGGAGCGCGGCCGCACAAGACTCGGCCACCGTCCACACGCGCGTTCCCAGCGCCAAGACGGGGCACCAAAAGAGGAGTGACTCGACGGCGGTGACGTCGCAGCTTCCGTTGCGGATTCCAGAGCTGAAGGGCAGCACGGAGGGGACCGACGAGTGCGAGTCGGAGGAGAGGAGGAGCGAAGCGACGAGGATCCCGACCCGGGCCGCGGCCTCGCTGCACAGCACGAAGCGGGCCACGGCCCACGGCGAAGCCCTCCGGCACGCGAACGCGATCCCGAACACGGCGATTGCGGCGGAGAGCGTCGGCAGCAGCCACTCCACCAGACGTGCGAAGGAGAGGGGCAAGTGCGCGTTGGACCAAGCCTTCGAGAGGGCGACGGCCTGCGTTGTGAAGACGCCAACGTCAATGCTTGTGAACGCGGCGACGTGCAGTGTATTCAGCGGATCGCGTGGATACGCGGGCTCGGCTCGACACGTCGAGCACGTCCTCGGGTGCCGCTCCGCGACTAGGCCGAGACAAGGGGGAGACAGGGGGAGACAGGGCGAGATATGGGTCTTCCGTCCGCATCTAGGGGCGACGGCCGTCATCGCCGCGACGCGGAAGGCCTTGAGGGTGAGAAGGGCGCGAGGGTAGGGCGCCTATGGCGGCGGCCGTGGGCGGTGAAGGTTCCCGACGTCACCTCGCGAGAGGGGCCACGGCAAGCAGAGGGAGAGTAGCGCCTTGCACGGCCCCGGGAGCTCGCTGCCGAGGTATGCAAAGTTTCCGCCGATGAAGAGGAATAAGTGCAGGAAGGCGCCGGCGTGCGCGCGCACGAGGAGGTGCGTCCTCAGCCCAACGGTCTCGCCCACCTACCGTGCCACAACCGCACACCGGGTCCGAGCCGGAACCCCCCCCCCCCCCCCGCTTGGGCGTGTGCCAGGGGCGCCTGTGCGGCCAAAAGAAGCCCTGGATCGGGCCCCTCGCTGCCAGCGGCGGCCACACACAGGGCGAGCAGGCTGGCGAAAGCCGCAGGCTTGAGGCGCGCGGCGAGGCGCGCGTCGCCGCTGAGCCGCTGCGGCCTGCCGCCGCCGCCGCCCTGCTTGGAGCCGGCCGGCTTCGGCGCTGGGAATGCGGGCGCGGGCGGCGAGGGCGGTATCGAGGCGCAGTGTGCAAGCGAGGCTTCCTCGGAGGCGGGGCCGCCCCAAGCGGCGGCGGTGGCGGCGGGGGCTGCGGCGGCGGCTGCGGCGGCGGCGCCCGCGTCCTCCACAGCAGCGGCGGCGGCGGCGTCCTCCGCCTCGTCGGCGGCGGCGGCGTCCTCGCTACTAAAGTGGACGAGGTAGCAGCCCGCAATGCTCGTCTCCACGGCCTTGGCCGCGAGGATGCGCCCGTTGAAGCGGGTGCGCGACCTCGCCTGCCCGTGCGTCGCCATGTCGAGCAGGTCGTGCGCCTAATTAATAATTAATTGTTATTAATAGTTATGGTTAATTAATAGAGTCGCCATGTCGAGCAGGTCGTGCGCCTAATTAATAATTAATCGTTATTAATAGTTATGGTTAATTAATAGAGTCGCCATGTCGAGAAGGTCGTGCGCCGCGGCGTCGCCAATGGAGGGGAGGATCACCAGGCTGAAGAGCTTGTCCGCCAGGGCGGCGAGGGACGCCGAGTCGTCGAGCAAGCTGCCGCCGCCACCCGGCGGGCGGCCAGCCTCCGCCTGCGCAAGGTAGCGGGGGGCTCGGCCACCCTCGTCGCTAAGCCGGTAGGGTTTGGGTACCCCACTCCTAGGGTACCCTACCGACCCAGTACCCGAATCTAGAGGTGCAGGGCGGTAGGAGCCAGGGGCGGCACTCGTGTAGCAAGGCCCGTGGGGGGCACTCGCCACAGGGCCGCAGTGTGAGCCCCAGGCTGTGTGTGGGCACAGCGGTGTGGAGCAGAGGAGTGTGGAGCACGACATGCACGTGGACATGTCATGGACATGTTGTGCATGTGACGGAGTGGGAGGGCTCCTACCGGGCTACTCTCACCTCCAGCACCACGTCCCGCGCGCCCGGGAACCAGTCGCACCACGCGTCGACCAGCCGGCGCGAGACGCGCTCGAACTTTGGCCGGACCGGCCCCTCCTCGAGGCCGTGCAGGGTGACGAGGGCGATCGCCTGGCGCCGGGGGGGACCGACCCGCCGCTCGGGATGCGCTGGGCGGCTGGAGTCGGCGGTGGAGGTGCGCCTGCTGCGCCAGCCCCGCCCCTAGCGTCGCTGTGGCGCACGCTACGCCCCCCGCCCCTCTCGCTGTGTGCAAGGAGGGTGCCCGTCCCAGGCTGGCCGCCTCCAACGAGAGGACGCCGGTACCTCGGCTGCATCTCGCTCGATCTCGGCTGTATCTCGCTCGATCTCGGCTGCATCTCCATCTCGGCGACCGCCTCCGACGAGAGGGCGTCGAAGCACGACTCGAGCGTGTCTAGAGAGAGCGACTGCCCCACCCACGGCTCGAGGACGCTGGACGCCACCTCGCTCATCAGGTCGCTCATTAGCAGCGCGCCCTCAGAAGCAACGCCCTCAGAAGCAACGCCCTCAGAAGCAACGCCCTCAGAAGCAACGCCCTCAGAAGCAACGCCCGCAGAAGCAACGCCCGCAGAAGCAACGCCCGCAGAAGCAACGCCCGAAGAAGCAGCGCCCGCAGAAGCGAGGCCGGGGGGGACGGGCGAGGCCGCGAGCGGGCCGACGGCGGGGGTGCCTGCCCCTCCCGCCAGAGACGCGCTGGCTCGCTGGCTGGGAGGAGGAAGGTGCGCGCACTGCACGGCGGGATGTCCCGGCGGCGGGTGCGCGCCTGCAGAGGGAAGGGGGAGGGGATTCGGGTGCTGGGTCGGTAGGGTGCGCGCCTGCAGAGGGAAGGGGGAGGGGATTCGGGTGCTGGGTCGGTAGGGTGCGCGCCTGCAGAGGGAGGGGGGAGGGGATTCGGGTGCTGGGTCGGTAGGGTGCGCGCGTGCAGGGGGAGGGGGAGGGGGCTGCTCGTGCGATGCCTTGGGGCGGGGACGCGGGGGGTGCAGCCGGGGGATGCAACCGGGGGAGGCGGCCGGGCACCCGGGAATGCGTGTGTTGGCCCCCCCTCGCGGTCGGTCGGTGGGCGAGTCGGAGAGAGTGAGTGTCCATGTCCGTGGTCCCCCCCCCCCTTCTAGAGGGGCGTTGCGTCGAGTGCCAAGCATGGCGACCACCGGCCAGGCATGCCGACGCTCTCGCAGCGCGTGCGCGTGTGCGTGTGCTTAGTCTCGCCCATGCCCACATGCCTCTGGCTGTCCCGACGCTGTCGTTCGGAGGCGGTGCCTTGCACCTCTGCGCTGCACATCTAGCACCTCTAGGCTGACGCACCGAGGGGGTGAGGGCCGACCCGGGCGGGGACGGCGTGGAGCGCGTACGAGGGCGGCAGCGGGAGGAGCTCGACGGAGGAAGTCCAGCTCCGCCTGACGAGGTCACGCGAGGTCACACGAGATTGGCCGAGATTGGTCGACGGAGCAGGCCCAGCTCTGCCCGTCGGGGGAGAGGCTCATGCGGGAGAGGAGCTGGCAGGGGCGGTAGTCGTGGTAGCAGCGGTCATACAGCCGGAGCGGTACCGGCAGCCTACGTGCTGAGTCTGCCAGCCTCGGGGCGGGAGATATGGGGAGATATGGGGGGATATGGGCAGCCTACGTGCTGAGTCCGCCAGCCTCGGGGCGGGAGATATGGGGGGATATGGGGGGATATGGGCAGCCTACGTGCTGAGTCCGCCAGCCTCGGGGCGGGAGATATGGGGAGATATGGGGAGATATGGGCAGCCTACGTGCTGAGTCCGCCAGCCTCGGGGCGGGAGCACGGTGTCGTGCAGAGTCTTCAGAGCAGCGCGTGAGTACGAGCGACACAGACACAGTGAGTACAGCGGAGTACGGCCGAGTACGGCTGAGTGCGTGTCCTCTCGAGCGTGGTTGTTGGAGTGCGAGAGTGCGGGCTCCGCTTCTAGGGCCGGCAGCTGCAGCGAGTACTCGGTGCCGGGCGCGAGGAGGGGGATGGAGACGAGCAGCTGCAGCGCGAGCGGCCGGTCCTGCGGGGGGGAGAGTCCGAGAAGAGGCTCCGAGAAGGGCTCAGGGCGTACGCTCGTTGGGCCGGACACGCTCTCCTCGGCGAGCAGCCGCCACCAAGTCTTGCTGCCCGGCGGATCTCGGCGGATCTCGGCGGATCTCGGCGGATCTCGGCGGCATCTCGGCGGATCTCGGCGGATCTCGGTCCTCCGGGTGCAGCGCGCGCTCGAGCGGGCAGGGCGAGGCGCTGCTCTCGATGGAGGCGAGCGTCTCGCTCATCGGCAGGATGGCGCTCTCCCACGCAAAGTTGGAGCGCAGGTGCGGCGTGCCTGCGGGCGAGATGCGGGGAGATGTGGGAGGTGTGGGGAGGTGTGGGGAAATGCGGGGAGATGTGGGGAGATGTGGGGAGATGTGGGGAGGTGTGGGGAGATATGGATCGCAGGTGCGGTTGCCTGCGTGTGGTGAACACGCCAGCCTCGGGGCGGGAGGGCGGTCTCGTGCAGAGTCCTCAAGAGCAGCGCGTGAGCACGAGGGGGGTGCGAGTGCAGTGAGGACAGCAGAGAGCGGCCGCACGACGGCGGAGTGCGTGTCCTCTCGAGCGCTGGCTGGAGTACAGAAGCACGTCCTCCGCTGCTAGGGGCGGCGCGCCGTCCCGCAAATGCCGCACGTGCACGTACCCCGCCGAGCAGTGGAGCATCGCCTGCGCATCGCCCGGCAGCTCGAGCGGTCCTGCCGCCCCCTGCAGGACGGGGCGTCGAGGAGGCTCAGGCAAGGTGGCGGGGAGGGAGAGGCAGCTCGACCGACACCTGCAAACCCTGCTGTGTCTTGGTCGAGCACCCGCTAGAGAGGGGTGGCGGGATGTGCGTAGGAAGAGGACCAAGAGCTCGCTTCGACTCACACAGTCGGGGGAGCTATGCTGGACCCCGGTACCGCACCGCCTACCCCGCACCTGCCCCGCCGCGGGCATGGAGAGGACGTGCCGGAGCGGCACACCCAGCGCACTGCACGCGCGGAGGACGCCTGCAAGCGCGGTCGAGCTCGGCTTGCCGCGAGCACTGCATCTCGGCCTCGGCCGCATCTCTCCTCTGTCTCGGCCCATCTCTCCTCTGTCTCGGCTCTACCCTCGGCGGTCATCTCGGCTGCATCTCGCCGCTCATCGCGTCGAACGAGTTGCGGCTCCGCGCGACCGCCGCGTTGAAGCGCAGCATGAACACCAGCGAGTCCGGCGCCTGTAGGAAGGCTCCCGAAAGGGTGTTCGAAGGCTCGTCGCCGTCGAAGCCGCATGCGAGCCAGCGGCGCCGGCGAGCCCTCTCCGTCTGGCCGGAGCACGAAGCTGCGGAGGAACGCGATGGACTGCTCGATCTCCCCGCCCGGCGCGTCCGCGACCTCCGCGCAGACTGCACCGACCGCGACCTCCGCGCCGATTGCGCCGACCGCGCCGCCGCCGCCGCCAGCCCTGTGCTGCATCAGTGGCGGATGCGCCGCCGCCGCCGCCAACGCCGCCGCGCACTCTTGCGAGGCGCTGATGTGGCACGTGGGTTGGCCGCCAATGTAGCTGTGTATGGTGTGCCCGCCCACGGCAGCGACGCTGCTCGCGCCCACGTGACCCACCGTCCTCCTCCCCTGCTTGATGGGCACCGCCTGCTCGCACCGCAGGCCAATTCGCGCGCACCTCGTGCATTTCTTGCCGCTCCGCGGGTCAAAGTCGCACTTGGTCTTGGAATTCTTGCAGGCGACGCAGGATCGCGGCGGCGGCGGCATGCGCGTTTCCTTGGCCCACAACGGATTCAGAGCAGCACTATTGGGGTCGGCCACAACCCACAGCGAGCGAGTTCTTTACCAAGAGAAGGGAGAAAAAAAGAATTTAGAAGCAGACGCCCTCGCACAACACTGGGCACGGGACTGGCGCGCACTGGCACTAACACAGGTACACCACTGGAGCCGCCTAAGCGACTCCCGCGAGGACGGCGAGGCACTTAGCTGAGAAAAAAAGAACAGCGAAGTTCTGACACCGGCGTGGTCGTCGCGCGACGGCGAAGACGGGGCAGGCAAAAAAAATCGCGGCGCGGCCGTCGGTTGGGCGCCTGGTAAAACAGCCGTACTTGAACATGGGGCACGGTAATGGATGGGATAGGTAGAGTGGTTTAGACTTAAAGTGGTCCGAAGGAATCAAGGCAGGGCAGTGAGCTCGCAGGCTGCTTAGTCGCCGTCGCCGCGTGTCGAGTCAGGACAGAGGACACGCCCGGCGGGTATATGTGGCTGAATGAGGTGCAGTGTTCCCGTGTCGGGAGTCGTGGTTGACACTCTAGAGTTGACGGGGTCTAGAGTTGACGGTTGCAACTGGGTGTGCGCGAGCGGCGCCCACCTACAGTAGCGGGGGACATGGAGATGGCTCCTGACCAACCGAGGTTCATGGACGAGACCGTGGTCGTGGAGAGCAAGGCCGTAGCCATTCGCGCCAGACGTGCTACCGTACACCAGAGGGGAAGCGCGCCAAGGCATGTTGTCGCCGCGACGCGGTCAAGGCTTCGGAGGGCTGGTCCCACAGGCAGAAGGAGAATCGGTTGGGAGATTGATTGGGACTCTTGCGCGAATGCATGGACAAGGCCCAGTTGCAACCCTAGTTTCGCACTGTGCTGTGACCACGCTGCTGGTTGGCGTCGGTTGCGCAGCACCCCGTCCCCATCCAGGTTGTTGGTTGCGGTCCCGCACTATGTAGTGCAATGCCCCGTTCTCTGGTCATGCTTGAGCCTCTTGGCGGCCAGCAACTCCCCCTTGGTGTCGGGTCGCGCGACCTTTTTGCCGACCTCCGAGCCCAGATAGCGCACCGTGATCCTCGTCGGCATCCGCGCGGGGGCGCCCTGCTGCCGGCCCCTGGCGGCCCGCCACGTAGGTGCGACGTGCCCGCCGAAAATCGGTTCAAACGACGTTCACAGCGCCAATTTGGCCCCAGCTCTTCGGCTCGCTCCGCTCGCCGGCGAGTTGGTTGGTTGCTAGCAGCACCCCAGCACCGGGGGGTCCTGAGAGCTGTTGGTTGGTGCTCTGTTCACAGCACAGTGCGAAACTAGGGTTGCAACCTGGTAAAGAACTCGCTCGCAGTACAGCGTCGAGGCACAGAAATAAGAACTCGCGGCACAGCTGGGAATAGGACCGCCGCAGGCGGCGGCGGCGTCGCGGACGAGGCAGACGAGAGCGACGCGACAGAGGAGGAAGCGACAGTAGGGAGAACGACGAGAGTGGGACGACCGAGGTGGCATGGAAAAAATCAAAAATTCTTAGCTTCTTGCCCCCCTCCGAGACTGGAGACAGTCACACCCCAGTATCAGACCAGGGGGAGTGCCCCCCCCCCCCCCCCCGTTTGCCCTGACTGCACAGGATAGCGTGCCCCAACCGGCGACACATAGCGGGGGACACTGACTGCGCAAGGAGGGGGTGCGACGGCTTTCTTTGTCCTCTCGAGGGAATGTTCTCTCGGCGCCCATGGCCTTCTGAGGTTTCGTACTGATGACACGTCCTTCTTGGCACTTTGGACGTCGGTATGTGTGTGTTCCCTTGGTAATGTGCTACGGGTATGGGCGCGCCGCCGGTTCGACGCTAACGGTCCACGAACATCTATCCGCGAGGTGGCATGAAGGTTGCAGCGAGACTCGGCGAGGGACTGCGAAGGGAGATAGAAAGAGGCAGACGACCAAGGGTTAGGGTGGGCGACGGCTAGCACCACACTCCTCTCCTTAAAATCCCTGTGTGGTGGCGGCGTGCCGTCCTCCCATCCCTCCCTGTTGTCTGTTTTCTTTCTTTCTTTACCGCCGCAAGCGGCGTGGCGTGGAGCGGTTGAGCATCCCTCCGGGGGCCCCTCTGCGCCGGGGAGGCGTTGTTGGAGGCTAGGTTGCTAGGCTAGCACGCAAGCGCCTTTTCAAACTCGGGGCCCACTCCGCTACGCTCCGACCCGAATTTGGAGGGCCATGAAGTTTAAGGTGTTGCTGCGCAAAAGGGGCGGGGCGCGGGCGCGCGCGGCGGGCGAGAGTTCTCTTTTTGGAGACCAGACCTTTCATGCTTTCTCTGTCTATCTCATGCTTCATGACACGACACGCGCGGTGGTGGAGCTGGTGGAGCTGTCAGCTGATCGATCCAAGTGGGTGGGGAGTGGGGGGCATGGCTGGGCATGCAGGTCCGCCAGTCGGCCCGGCCTCTGACGTGGTGCTGCCGCTGCATTCGCTGAAGTGGATGGTTTCTAGAGCAGGCTCTAGATAAAGTTGCCTTGCCGCAGGACCAGGGGTGGAAGGGGCAGGCGGAGGCGCGGCTGCACCGCTCGGGCCAGAGCGAGCCCGTCACCGTCTCACACTCGTCTCTGCCATGTCCGCCGTCGCCGCCGTCCTGTCTGCTGCGCTCTGTGCTCCGAGGTACAGTCGCTTATTGTTGCTCAGGATTAGCTCACGCACCAGGACAGCCTCCTGCTCGTTACTTTTGAGCGGAGTCAAGGCACAAGGGCTGGCGCGCTAACACCCCCGGAGAAAGAGAAAAGCGGCCAGTTGTAGTGAGCGTCGGGCTGGTGGTTCGACACCGAGTTTGAAAGATCTGTTTCTCTACGTCTCTCTTCACAGGAAAATCCTGTGAAGAAAAGCGGAGAAAAAACAGAAACCTTTTCTGCCTCGGCCTTAGCCGTCGGTACTCCGAAAGCGTGCTATCCAAGTAGCACGCAGCCGGGTCCCGAAGGTGTCCCATCCCAAATTCGTGCTGTCGACAGACCAGATTCGTGGTCCCTTGGTCGACTACACCCGCCTTTGGACGGTAGCCCGACACAATACATTTGTCTGTCTTTTTGGATTTTTGGTTCGCGGGACTATTCGCTTGCTTTTTCTTGACCCACTTGCGTCTTGCTTTGAGTGTTTGTCTTGCGCGCCTGCTTGTGGATGTTGATTCTTTAATTTTTTCTTGATAATCCAGGCTAGAGTGTTGTAGAGAGCAGTGTGGTACCCTTGTCAAACAAACAAACTCTCTCTCCCTTGTCGGCCTGTGATGCTGTGATGTGATGAGCCACTGAGTCAGCAAATGTGCTATGCTCAATTTGGCTCACCACCGAGCTAGTGTGTAGTGAATGCCATAAGCCCAAGAAATGCCCTGCCGTTTCTGCTATGGCCTATGCAAACGTTCGCAGAACGTTCGATGCTAACCTGTTCACGATGGCGTAAGAAAAATGCGGTCTCATGACGGCGCTGGCATCTCCAGCGGCGTCGCGACTTGGGTAGCTCCAAATTCAGATGAAGGCGCCGCACTGATCACGCTGGTCGAGGTTAGCGGCTGCGAACGCCGACTAAGAACGGGGCTTATTATTTTACACCGTGCACGCCTTCTCCGCGCATCGAGCCCCCCCTTCAACCCACCCACACGCGCTCGGCTAGGTCGTTCCAGCTTCGAGACGCATCTCGCGGGTCGTCACTCCCACGAAGCTGGGAACTAGCACGGGGCAGTCGACAGGGCTCAAGGCGTGATCGCCGTCTTTTTTGCCTGTGCTCGCTCTTGCGCGGAGGATTATGCTGCCCAATCTCTTGGCCAAATGCGGGCCCTTCTCTATGACGCTGTCGATGCCACGGACGGTGCGGATGTGCTGCATGCTCGTGGCGGACTCTGCGGTATGAACGATTATGAGGCCGCAATAGCCGTACTCCACGCGCAAGCTCGTTGCCACCTCAACGCTGGTGGCCCCGCCTATTCACAGGTAAGCGCGATGGAATGGTACGTATAAACCTCGCTCTCTCGATGCCCCTGGCCCCACCCGCGAGGTTGTGGTCGAGGAGAAGCACATCGGCCGCCAACACCCGTTCCGCCAAGTCAGCGAGCGTCGTCGAGGTGGTGTGGTGCAAGGACTCGCACCGTGTGCACGCCTCCCACGTCAGGCGAGCGTAAATGGCTCAGGCTGGGTCGAGGCGGATCCGCCTTGGGGTGAGGTGGCTTGGGTGAGGTGGAGGAGCGTGCGCACCTCCATGCTCGAAATCGACTGGCACGCCACGTCAAGAACGAAATCGTCGTCGTCGACCACCAGAGCAGTGAATTCCGACACCACCGCCGGCAGTGCCGCGCCGGGCGAGGCTGGCAGCGAGAAGGAGGTCCAAGTCCACCCGCCTGCCTCGCCCGCGATCTCCAGCGCTCCGCCGAGGTGTGTGCACGCGCGCAGTGCACCCACGAGGCCGCGTCCCGAGCTCCGCGACGCCATGGAGAAGTCCTGCTGGCCGCTAAAGACGGCGTCGACCTGTACTCAGCTAGCGGCGTGAAAACAGCTTCTCCTCACACTGATGCACGTAAGAGTGGCCTGACCAGCTCGGGCGTGACCGGGGTGGTGCCTTGCCGGTTGCGGCTGCGCATTTGCGTTGTGAGCTTGCCCTCGCAAAGGTGCCAACTGTCACGGGCGCACGACAGGGTATCGTGTGAAGAGGTCTGGATGAGGTCGCCGGGCTCCCCACATCAACCCACGCACCGGATCGTGCTCTCGGTACCATACTTTTGCGCGTTGTCGATCACATTCGTGAGCACGTAGTTGTAGATGATCTCGTCGATCAAAACCGGTGGGCAGTGTGTGAGCACCTCCACCTCGCGGTGGTCCACAAGCGCCATCGGGGCGAGGAGGGTCCACCGTGACTCGTAGCTGCCCATCTCCATCATGCGGAGCACCTGCGAGGGGGGAGTGCAGACCTCGCGTCTTGGTCTTGGACGAGTCAAGACGAGTTTGGAAGTCGAATCACCTCGACGAGGTGCATCTTCTGCGTGAGCTGCTGCAGCACGCGCTTGGCCGCGTCCACCTCCCTCCGGAAAGGGCGAGGTAAGGAGCAGTGTGTGGGAAATAGCTGGGCACTCCTGTGTGCGCGTGCGTCCATGTGTGTGTGTGTGCGCGCGCGCGCGTCCGTGTGTGTGTGTGTGTGTGTGTGTGTGTGTGTGTGTGTGTGTGTGTGTGTGTGTGTGTGTGTGTGTGTGTGTGTGTGTGTGTGTGTGTGTGTGTGTGTGTGTGTGTGTGTGTGTGTGTGTGTGTGTGTGACGCCGCGCGTGCGTTGCGATTGTGCGTGCGTTGCACCTCAGGTGGCGTCGACTCTAGGTGCCGGTGCACCCTCATGCCCGCGCTCTTGCGTAATGGTTCGCGTCGGCGTATGCGGTCTGCATCGCGGTGAAGACTCTGAGTTGAGCCGCCTGCTGAGCATGCTGGAAGCTCAAGCGCACCAAGTATTCGGTCATGTGTCCGATGATTGTGCCGTAGAAGGTGGCGAGCGCCACGTGGGCCTTCAGCTGCGGCGCGACGTGCAGCGCGCCGAATGAAGCCAAGGCGAGGACAGAGAGGCTTTTGCGCTTGTCCAAAAAGTTGAGGTGCAAGCTGAAGACGGCAACCGCTGCACAAATCTCATTTTGGGCAAAGAGGTGGAGGCGACCCGTGCTTAGGTGGATAACCGTCGAGACCGCGGGGAGTAAACTACGCCCGTAGTTTACTCCCCGCGGTCTCCCGCCGGCCGCCGCAGCACCGCCGGCCGAAAGGATGCCCAGGCTCAGCGCCATGCAGAAGATGGCATAGAGCGGGTCATCCGCGGCGATGCTGAGCGGAATAAGGACGATGGAGGCGACGTTGAGATGATCGGCGTATGCCTGACGCTCAAGAGGCGAAGTCACGAGCGCAGGCGCGAGCGTCGCTTTGTCTACCCCGCCCGCGATTTGGACCTGCTCGAAAAAGTCGCGGAACTCCGCCTCGGCGTTACCGTCCTCGAACCCGAGCTGGACATAGCTGCAGATCAGCGACAAGCACTTCCTCATGAAGTAGGGTATCGACACGCGTAGCGTCATGTGCACGAGAGGGAACAGGAAGGAGGGTTGTTCCGTTTCTCTCGCGTTCCGACCAACTTTCATTTCTCTCTGCTAAAATTCTCTCTGCGTTCTCGCACAGGCGAGAGAGCGGCGCCCGCTCTTTGCGACGCCCGAGGGGGAGCCGTACCAGGGCCATGTGCTACGGCAGCGCCTCCACCAACTCGTCACCACGCTCTTTGGGTCCAGCATGGCGGACGTCATTTCTTTCCATTCATTCCGCATCGACCTGGCCTGCAGGCTTCTCAAGGTCAAGTGCCCGTGGGAAGTGATCCAGCTGATCTTGCGGAAGACGACTCCCGAATCGCTGCGCGCTTACAGCCGACTCGGCTTCTCCGAGAATGCGAGCTGGACGACGAAGGCGGCGACGGCAACCTACTCTGCGACTCAAGTGGCCAACTTTCACGCCCTGAGCGATGCTGATCCCATGAAGGCGTTCATCAATGGGGGCTTTGGTGAGGCGCCCGCCCGGTCGACACCCGCGCCACGTGGGTCCAGCCATAGCAACGTGTTTGCAATTGGGGCCAAGGTGCTCGTCCCCGCGACGGTCTACCCCTCATATCCGTGTCGAGAGAATGAGGGTCGCGGATGGACGGCGACCGTGCTACAACGATCTCGCGATGCGGTACGGCTCGAGTTCACTAGTGCCGATTCGAGTGGCGCCGCATTCGAACCAGTATGGCTCAAGAGCGCCGTTCTCATCGCGGTCGCATGAGGCACGCTTTCTCCTCACATGTCTTTCCTCCCCTCTCTTCACACGTCCTTTCTTACCTTCTCTTCACACGTCCTTCTGTCTCTGCGCCTCTCATCTCGGCGCCATGGAGGTGAGGTCCAACCTCTACTCGCCACTCCGGGGGTTTCTGCCTGACGAGGGATCTCAGGACCGAGCTTCTCCATGATAGTTCAAGGCGACGCAACAGGCTCGCCGCCTATGACTAACCTCGTGGCTTCTACCCTTGCTGTGGCGAGGCGCGATCGGCCTCTCCCAATTCTCTGCTAGGGAGACGGGCATCACCACCCCGCAGAGGCGGTTGCTGGTGATGGCAAAACAAATACGATGCGCCCTCCCTCCCGACCCACGGGAGCTTACTTGGCCTGGCCTGCCACTGTGCTATGCTCTTTCTCTTCTCGCATAAACTTCTCTATGCTCTTTCTCTTCTCGCATAGCTTCTCGGCAGCGCCCACTCTTCCTGGACTTTGCGTGACTTCTCCACCTTCTGGAGTCCACGAAGACGCCATCTATTCTTCACCATACTCGTCCCCCTTTCTTTCTAGCTCGCCGTCACGCGCGAGCGGGATGAGTGGGTGTTTGTGCGCGCGTGCAATTGAGCTTTAAATCCCGACTATAATTGAGCCGACTATGCAAACCATGGATGGCTACCTTCTACATTCACAGGGTGGGCTTCGGGCATGGACCCCAGGCGAAGTCAAGGCGATGGTTTCTAGAGCAGGCTCTAGATAAAGTTGCCTTGACCGCCGGAGGTGGTCCACGGCGATCAACGGGCTGGGCCTACGGCGGCTATCCTCAACGAGGCACGAGGTGATCTTGCGATTGCCGCCGGGCGGGGTCTCCAAGTAAACTCCCGTAAGTTTCTACTTATGAGCGTTACTTGTTTGTGGTCCGCTCTACCGACCGCCACAAACGTTGGTGGACCGACTCGTTGTGCCCCTTCTACCATCGTGCTGAGCGGTCCCTCGCCAACGTGTGAGTGAATTTTGTGTGTCCCTCCCTGCCCTCCCGGGATGAGTGGGTGTTTGTGCGCGCGTGCAATTGAGCTTTAAATCCCGACTATAATTGAGCCGACTATGCAAACCAAACCATGGATGGCTACCTTCTACATTCACAGGGTGGGCTTCGGGCATGGACCCCAGGCGAAGTCAAGGCCTCCAAGTGCCGCGGCCGCACACTTCTGGAGCGCCGAGTACTTCTTCAGCTGGTACCCGTCTAGGCAGGCGGGTTGCAGGAGCCAGCACAAAGGGCCATACAATTTTCTAGCACATGCATCATGTGCACACGAGATCATGATGATTCATGTGCATTTGCATGTCCATGTGCGTGTTGTGTGGTGTGGGTCCACATCAAGTCACAAAGTGTCACATCTCTCAGTGCCCCAGTGTCCGAATGTTACACCCATCGAACCACATCGCTCATGCGCTCTCACTCACGCACAACACCACACCCCAAACGTACATGAAATCAATGCGGTGCCAGCCAAAGTTGTGCAAAGTCACGGCCAGACGGGGTCAGCACGGTAGTCGCCCGCTAGTGCTTGGTTCTTCTGCGCCGCTTCTCGGGGGCGAGACTGCGCGGCGGCGGCGGCGCGCCGAGCCTCCTCCTCAGACGGCGGAGGCGTCGCGGCGCGCCGGAGGCTCCGGGGACGCGGCGGACTTGCCACGCCCACGGGTCGATGGGACAGCGGTTTCGTTGCACTGGCGCATCAGCCAGGCGGTGTAGAGCAGCTTCCATCCGACCGCGATGGCGAGGCTGATCAGGGCCTCTCGCGCGGTGCTGACGTCGAGGTCGATCATCTCGTACGTCTCCCCGAGGGAGACAAGGACCTGGGGCCCGGTGAGCCCGAGGCACTGCTGCGGCTGGAGGTCGGGGCAGCGGAAGGGCGGGCCGTTTGCGCCGAGGACGTCAAAGCAGCCGGCCTCGGTCACGTTGGAGCACGCCTCGGCGCCCCCGATGCTCTCATAGTCGATGAACTCAAAGTAGTTGAGGGAGGGAAACGCCCACGCGAGGGGGAGGAGGTAGGTGAAGGCGCGGAAGGGCCAGATCACGTCCGTCTTGCGGAGGAAGATGCCGCAGAAGAGGAAGGACGCGAACCAGGTGTTGAGGAAACCGAGCATGCCAAGCAGAGGGTTGCGGAGAAGCGAGCAGAGCTGGGCGATGCACTCAAAGGCCCAACTCATCAGCACGTAAACGAGCGTAAACTGCACGAAGTTGGACGCGTTGAAGTCGGCGATGGCGTAGGCGGGCACTCCGATGGCCGAGATGGCGAGGAAGACCATCATCGGCAGCTGCAGCGAGGTGTGTGCGAGCACGTACGCGACCGGGTGGTACATGCCGTCGCGCACCTCGCGCCGCACGGCTTGCACCTCGCCGTTGAGCGCGAAGGTGCTCACGACGCCGAGCGCGGCTGGCACGCCGACGAGCCACATGGTGAGGAACCTAAGAGGGGAGTGCTTACGTGTGGGGTACACCCTTCCACGTGTGTGTATGGCGACGGTGAAGCAGGCATTACATGCGGGAGACGATCTGCTCCTGCTTGACGACACGCGCGCGGATGTAGACGACGGCGAAGAAGCTGTTGGCGAGGAGGAACGCGACCGCCCGCCCGAGGTAGAGGGTCGGGTCCTTGTACGTGAGCTTGCAGAGCTTGCGCAGCAAGCACCAGGTCTGCCTCGGGAAGGGCGCCTGATTCGTCTTGGGCAGCGGGGAGAAGGCGTGCGTGGCCGCCGGCCCGGCCGTCGGCCGAAACGCGTCGAGGACGAGGCCGACCGCCTCGGGGCTGCGGAAGTCCTTGTTGACCAGCTCGAGCATGTGCTCCGCCGGGCTGTTGCCTGGCGGCACGGGCTCGCCCAGCGAGTCGCAGTACTCGCCCAGCGCCGCTGCCGGGCCGTAGTACGCTGGGCGGCCGGAGGCCAGGATGAGCGTGTCGTCGAAGCCCGAGAAGACCTTGTAGGAGGGCTGGTGGATGGTGCAGAGGATGGCGGTGCGCTTGACCGAGGCGGACTCCTTGAGGAAAGTCATGATGGAGGCGGCGGCGGCAGCGTCCAGCCCCGAGGTCGGCTCGTCGAGGAAGATGAGCGCAGGGTTCTTCGAGAGCGCGACCGCCAGCGAGAGGCGCCGCTTCTGACCGCCCGAGAGCCCGCGCACGAGCTCGTTGCCGGCGCGCGTGTGCTGGCACGATGTGAGGCCCATGTGCTCTAGGAGCTCGTCGACCGCGGCGGCCCGCTCGGCCGGACCGAGTTGGTGCTGGTAGAGCGAGGTGGAGATGGCAAGGTGCTCGCGCGCCGTTAGGAACGCCGCGTGCGAGTCATGCTGCGCGACAAAGGCGCAGTGCTGCTTGTAGAGGGCGGGCGTGAAGGGCTGGCCATCGAGACGGAGCGAGCCGTGCGCTTTGCCAGGGCCCGCCTCGAGGGTGAGCATCTTCATCAGCACCGTCTTGCCAGCACCTGCGGTCGTGCGGATGGGCTTGCCGGAGGCGTGGCAGCGGGCTGGGGCAGCGGCGTCGTGCGGACGGGCTGGCGGAGGCGTGGCAGCGGCGGCGGGCAGCGGTGTCGCACCGCTCGGTCCCATGATGGATAATATCAAGCCAGATTCGACGCGGCCGGAGATGTCTGACACAAGCGTCTTGGCCTTCTCGCCCTTGCCCACGGTGTACATGCAGTCGGTGAAAGTGAACTCGTGCTCGCACTCTTTTGGAGTCTGGCTCCCAGTGACGGTGGATACCATGGACCCAAGGCAAAAGCGGTTTTCTGAGGCGAGGCGGCGTCTTGCTCGGGGCACGATCGGCTACCGCTCACCGATCGGCTATCCGCTCACCGGCAGGGGGCGCACCGAGGGACCACCGAGCCGACAAGCCAAAACAGATTTTTTTAGAGCGCCTTCGTTGTTAATAATAAGACAGACAGACGGACACTATTTTTTTCTGTGTGGCTCTGACGTTCCAGTTTGAGGTTCTTTGTTCCAGTAGGAGGGTTTTTGAAAATCAACAAGAAGTATTCTCTGCTTCACCGCAATACTGGCTGTGATACCAGGTTTTTTTCTTAGGTTTGCTGTTTTGGTGTATTGTTGGCAAACAAACGAGAGCTCACACCCACCCATCCAGGGCAAGGGAACGGGAGCGGGGAGCGCGATGTGAACACCCCTCCGGGCCCCGCTTATGTGTCGGTAAAATCTTGGTAAATTTGAGTGCTACAGTGCCAAGGGCGTCAAGCTCGTGAGAGCAGTGATTTCATGCATCATCAGCTCGATG